AATGCTTCAGTACTAAACAATTTGAGCACAAATGTGTTGTGTTCTTTATTTTAAGAACAAATGCAGTGCTTTCTCTGAGGTTTGCAGGAGTGGATTCCCCCCTTGCTGGGCTGCCAGGGCAGGCACACCCATGGTTCCTGCTGCAGCTCCCACTGGTGCTGCTGCTGCACGGAGAGGGAAACCTTGAGCAGTGCAATTCCTGGAGCATTCGAACACAAAGGATGGCTTTATCCCTTATGAGGAGACCTGGAAACAGATAAAGAGTGTTAACATTGAGTTAATAGATGTAGTGCAAATAATCAGGATGTAATAAGAGACAAAATGTCCAAAGCCATAGTGATAGCTCTTTTTTCTTGTCTTTTTTATTTCCCCTCTTCTCTTTGTAGCATAGGGGAGGGAGGGGATGAAAGAAACATTATCCAAGCCTCCTTTTGCCATCAGCCCCTCCCGAATAAAGACTGAGTGGAAGAACTGTTCTGCAGCAAATGGTGTCAGATTCTGTGCATCAGCCTGAATTCACATTCCCAGTACATTCCTTATTTGTAGGATTCAGCATTTTTGTAACAGCTACACGCAAAGGGGAAAGAAGGCAAAAGAACCAAGACATTTAGCCACTGAGGCTTTTTCCTTCCCAGCTAGAGACATAAATAAAGCAGGACAGAAGTGCCTATATGTGAATATAGAATAAGTGCCTCAGTATTGCAGGCTGAGGACCCCTAGGACTGAAAGTTTCTGCAGGTCCCATTTCTCTTTTAATAACGAGCAGCCTTCCTGTGGGAAAAATAGCACAGAGATTGTAAAACTGATTGTGTGGTGAAGGGGAGTTCAGGGTCTGGAGTCGGTGCAAATAAGAAAGAGATGGTTGCAGTGTCAGGTGATGCTTTAATAATATGGCATGTGCCATAAATGAGAACTGAGCCTGTAGCAGCTCCAATCCAAGCACAGCAACTGTTTGGAGCTAGGAAGAACTGCTGAAGTTTAAAATAAATAAAAAAGCATATGTAGAGGTCTCAATCCCCTATGTAGGGAGCAGATAGCAGGTCTAACAGAAATCTATGTAATCTGGCAGTGCAGGATTAAAGAGAAAGTCGCTGAGAAGTGGTGGTTTCCTGTCCTTAGCCTGTTTCATACCCGTGCCCATGGATATCTTCTCTCTGAGTTGTTACAGTTTCAGAGTCCAGAAGATCACTTGCTGCTCCCTGGAGTCCTGAGGTTGTTTCCTGTATAGATCAGACCATTAAGGTATGAGGGTTCCTGCTGTCCTGCCTGGTGTACGGAGCACCAAATCGATGGAAAAGCTATTAGAAGATACTGTGTCACTTTAAGATACTGTGTCACTTTTTAGTCTTTTTTTTTTTTTTTTTCTTTCTATCAGGAACAGCACAGGGAGAAATTTCACAGGGCTGGCCTTCCAGGCTGCAGTTTAGAATTTGCTTGGCAGACACTCACTAACCTGAGTTAGGCCATTGCCCTAGAAGAAGAGTTCAGGCCTCCCTGCACTGCCCAGGCCCTGAACTGGCAGCACATCCTGGAGTGTCTGCTGGCATCTGCCCCGTTGTTCCTCAGGAACAGGCTGAGCACACCCCGTGGTGCAGCTCTTTCCCCTCTGCAGCTTTTTCAGATGTCGAGGAGAGTTGTGTGAATCACATCTTGTGCTTTCTCGCCTTCCATCACCTCTGTTTTCGGTGACCTCCCTGTGAATAATAATACCTGTTCCATCTGCTTCTTTCAGGCAGTGGTTCAGTAATGCTGAGCTCCAGCACAACTCCAGTTTTGTGCTGTGCAGCTCCTGGTCCAAACTGTGCCTGGCCACACACGGGGGCATCCCCTCGCTGTTGTGCAAAGGCTACTGTGCTCTGTGTCATCTGTCTCATGAAAAACTGGGAGATGGAGCATGTTTCTTGAGGTTTTGGGTAGGGCTGGGTCCTGATCCTGCCCACAGGATTGTGAGAGCTCTAGGGGGGTGTCTGGGGGCTCCTGTTGACAAAGCTGTTCTTCCCTCAAAGCACAGTGAACCAGCAGCACTGCAAAACTTACCTGAAACTCTGGGTTCATTCACAGCCTCTGCACTTCTGTAGAGCATCAGGGAACCTGGCTGAAGTCTTATCAAAGCTCTTGCAGCAATAGAAGCACAGCTGCTCTTCAGGCTCAGGAAGATGGCAAAATGTCTGTTTAGGTTTTTTGCAGTTTTGTGAAAATTAACCATACGTCTAAAATTTCAGTCTGTGTTTCTAAATCATCACCTAAATTTTGCAGAAATTAGTGCTTTCAACCCTGCCTGGCTTTTTTTTTACAAGGATCTGTGTCTCTAAGATGTCTTAAAAGGTATAGTTATACCTTTCAGTTTTAGACTGAGAGAAGATTTAATTTATTTTTAAGGTTCAGAAGGAGAAATCCAAAGGTTAACAGTTGGCTGATGGATCGGATGTTGCTTGGTATGTGTTTCTGCTCTTTATTTTTGAATTTCCTTTTCTCTGCTTCTCCAGGTGTCATCTTGACATGAGAACATTCAATCTTAGCACTGAGGAGTGCAGAAACTTACTTGTAGGGGTGGAGAAAAGAAGAGTTTCTTTGTGTGTAACAAAATGGTTTGTAAAAGCTCTTCAGAGAGCGAGAATTCAGTTCTGTGAGACGATTATCAGAAGTACTTTGTGCAAACATAAAAACCAGCACAAGACACACAGATGATAGTGCAGTTACATTAGTAAAGAGAATGGGAATGTCTGATTAGTAGCAGAGGATAGGGAAGAAGGTTTTCAAAGTGTCCTGCTCAGAAGTGGCATTAATCCAGCAATATCCAAGCAATAAGCCCTGTAAATGCTTGTCTAAATGCCCTGGTTAGTCCTGAGGGTGTTTGGGCTTCGCTGGGGCACACGTAATTTAGTGAACTTTTAAATAAACCTCTAGGCACCAGCCCAAACTGAGAAGGGCAGAGGGGAAAATGCTGATGGACAGTCCTACTGAGCTGGAACACAGTGGCTGTGAAGGAAAAGCTGCTGAATGGGCTTATGGTTGAAAGAAGTAAAGCAACTGCACTTGGACTCACTAATGGGCTTTTTGTCCAAATTGGAGCCATCTCTTTCTTTGGGAAGTTATTTGTGTTGGAAATCAGGCCATAGCCAGGCTGGAGCAGGAAGGAAGAGGCGGATGGTGATCTCAAAAGGGTGTGCTCTGGGAGCAGAATGACAGCTGTGCAAGAAGTAGGTTGGCTGCGAGGGCAATGAACTTGGCAGTGAAGCTCCTTCAGCTCCTTGCACTGCTGAAAATGTGGTGTTCTGCTGGAGCCCTTGGAGCAGAGCTGAGGGAGCCCAGAGGGTGGTCATGGTGGTGGGGCTCCCTGCCTGAGGAGCCAGCAGCCCTCCTGAGGCCACCTATCCCCTCCTGCAACCTCTCTGTGCTTCACAGGAATACAGAAATGTGCTCTCAGCAGAGGAGTCGTTGTCACTTGTCACCCTTTTCCTGTTCCCAGCCTAGAAGAGAAGCCATTGACCTTCTCTCCAGTCATTCCTGAGCACTTCCCCAATCACATCCTGCCGTGTTACTGGGTCTGCCTTGCTGAAAGGGATGTTGAAGCAGCAAAGAGGTGTGAGCTTTTTCCCCAGTGATGCAAATGGTCTGTACTGGAGTCAATAAAGAAAACAGAATTTGTGTCTTTCTTCCTGTGACCTTTGAATCGTGTGTTTCCCTGTACTGAAAGGGAAGGTGACACCATTTATGGCTTAACTTGGCTGTTAGATGGAAAAGCAATCTCACTTTCCTGCTCTGATTCATAGGTCCCTAATGACAGGTTACTTGGCAATTCTTGTTTTCAGCAATCTCCATGCAGTTGTGTTTTGACTGGGACCTGATAGAAACATGAGTGAGAGGAACTTCAGGCTGAGGCCTGATAGTGCAGCAATGATACTTTTTATTTGGCTCTTTGAAAACACTTCCCCCACAGCTGTTGTAGGCCTTTTCCAACGTGAACACATCAGAGGTGATTGTCCTTTGCTTGTTTTTTATTCTGTTTCTCTGCATTTAACTGTGCTTTTTATGGCACCAGTTTTGTTTGTGCTCCATCATTGCAGTGATTATTACTACAGGGCATAAAGTATGAAACTCGGATCACAGCCATGTTGTGTAGGAGCAACATAAATGTGCAGTAAAGGGAGTCTCTGTCACAAAGTGTTAGTGGTGTCTGGAGAGATGAGGCAGAGAAGAACAGGCACAATGCAGCAACGTGCTCCCATTGCACAAAAACTCAACTGTGGAGTCTGGGACAGAGCAGTCCCTCAAACAGGGAGGGACACGTTTGGTTGCAGGACCAGGAAAGATGAGCTCTTATCCCCTTTCTAGAGATTAGTGCCTTTAAAATAAACTGGCCTTGCATGTGACGGAGAAAGTTCAAGCATCCAGTAGTCAAAGGTCGCTTTCTGACCCTGATGGGGTCAGAAATTTAAGAAGGACATTCAGAGTCAGTGTAAAAGTCCTCATTGTTTCAAATCTCACTGAACTTAAAGAATTTACATTACACCCAGAAGTGTCTTCTCTCAGCAGTTGGGGGCAGGTTGTTGTTGTCCTTAGCTGGGGAATTCTCCTGTTTAAAAGGATTGCTGGATCTGGCACTGGGTAATGTGTTATAGTGGTGTGGGTTTACAGTGGTGGTGCTGGATTGATGGTTGGACTGATGATCGTAAAGGTCTCTTCCAACCTTTATGATTCTATGAAAATACTGCAAACAAGTAGGAAAAAAATTGCAGTTTCCCATCCAGAAGTGGGTAAGATAGAGCTGTCTCCACCTCAGATTCCAAATCTCTCCTCACTGCCACTCAAGACCCTTCTCAAGCTGGAAAGCTGGGCAGCCCAGAGAAGGCGAAGATGGATTGTCATCCTTTGGCTGGGGGAAGTGTTAAGAGTTCTTTGCTCAGTCAGAGCTCATCTTTGAGCTCCAGCACACGTAGGTACCCGTTCAGAGCAGAACTGCTGCCTCCCTGACTTTGCTCTCTCCTGTTTCTTCACAGCTCCTCTATGACAACCCCAAAGCCCGTCAGGAAGTGGAGTATCACTGGCGAGCGTCAGGGTGTCCTCACATTGTCCACGTCCTGGATGTTTATGAGAATATACACCATGGGAAGAGATGCCTCCTCATTGTCATGGAATGGTATGGACCAGCAGGAGCCCTCCACCAGGCATTCCTCTTGGAGGGGTGGAGGGAGCTGAGGGAGGAATGTGTTGGCTTAGGTGGGAGTTAGGGGGGATTTCTTCCAGCACGAATTTGGCTTGCGGAGCAAATCTTTCCTCGTCTTTATGGAACTGGTAAGGAAATGTGTGTCTGCTCCAGCCATCTTGTGGGATGGAAGAATGAGGAGCCTTAACCAGAAAATAAATTTTCCTTGTGCTCCATGACAGTTGTCCTCATTAAAGCATTGACATTAATACGGTCTTGAAAGACATGTCTCTATAAATACAATGCACTTTGGTTGTGATTGACTTCCAACTTCAGCTGTAAATCCAATGATCCAATATGATCCTTCTTGCTACTATTTTGACTCTTAACTTTTCCTATTCTCTCCTTGATCTCTAATACCACAGTTATTGTCTTCTTCACTGAGGACAAATTAATACTCCTTTTGGGTATCTTTGTTTCTTTCTTTTTTTCTCATCTCCAGCCCTTCCATAAAATAAGACTATTGTTGGCCTCCCAGTGCCAGTGTGTGTGACTTCCCAGCTATGTGTGTCCTGTTCCCTCTGACAGGGTACATTAAACTGAGAGCATGAAAACTCCCTGGTCTTGTTTTGTTGTCTACTTATTCCATCCCAGAATGGCTTTCTGCATTGATTCAAGTGAGTGTGGTGTTCAGGAAGCACTGGCAGAGGAGGCAGCCTGTAATCTTTGTTATTTGCTCCTGTGGTTCTGTGTGATTATATGGATGCACAGTCAGGTGTTAATTTTGTGGTTTCTCCTCATTTAAGGTGGGGTTTCTTTTGTGTTCTTTGTTTCAGCATGGAGGGAGGAGAGCTGTTCAGCAGGATCCAGGAGAGAGGAGATCAAGCTTTCACTGAGAGAGGTGAAACATCACAAGTTTAAAATTAAAATTTGTGAAAGATTGCTTCTTCTTTTCCCTGTCCCCTTGCTTAGTCTCCTTATAGGAATTTTTCTTTGATTTGATTTTTGGTGGTGGTGGTTGTTGTTATTATTCTCTATCCAACTCTGTATTAAAGAGTTATTTTTTACAAATATGGGAAATTCTTCCTACAAATCTGCTCAGCTTCTTCATTTCTGAGCCACCACAGCCTCTGATACTCTGAGCCCTGGTCTCCTGCCAGACCACCTCTGGCACGATGAGCGCAGCTCCTGCTGGGATTTCCCTCTGGCTGTCCCTCAAGCAGCATCCCTGTGCACAGCTATGCTGTTAGACCACGAGGATAATGAGCAAATCACACTTGAAACATCTCTTATTCAAGGGTTTTAAAGCACTACTTGAAAGGAAGTGTTATTAACCACGCTGTAAACAAACCTGCTTGGCTGCAGCAGGGACTGCGTGCAAGCTGAAAGACCTGCCGTGAGCAGGGGCAGCTTTTAATGGAGTCTCACCATTTTTATTGTCTTTGCTATTTATCATTTGCAGAGTATCACAGGAGTGCTTGACTGTGGCTCTCCTTGCCACCTCACAACAGTCAAGGGCTTGTTTCTGCTCAGGAGTGAAAACAGTGGTGTTTGTAACACGGCGGTGTTTGTAACTAGGGTCTGACAAAATGATTAGAAGAAGAAAAATACTCACCTGAGCTTGGAAATTACTGTGACTTTTTTTGCAAGTCTGGTGTAGAGGTGCTCAGCTTTTTGATCCTGTGTTTCCTAGCCTGAGCTTGGAAATTACTGTGACTTTTTTTGTAAGTTTGGTGGAGAGGTGCTCAGCTTTTTGAGCCTGGGCTTCCTATCCTGAGCTTGGAAATTACTGTGACTTTTTTTGTAAGTTTGATGTAGAGGTGCTCAGCTTTTTGATCCTGGGCTTCCTAGCCTGGGATGAATCCTTTAAGTCCCAGGAGAGACTTGTGTAAGGAAAATGAGCATTTTTAGGAACTTTATTTGTTCCTCTCTAAAATACAAAATTCCAGGGGGAAAACTGGTTTCATGAAAAATAGTGACTGCACTCTACTAAAACCATTATTTTTCTACATTATATAGCATTGTGTAACATTGTAAATACTTTTTCAGAAGTCACATGGGAGTGTTAAACAAAAAAACACCTTCATTCTTCCCTGAGATAAATGAGCCCTGTTCCACTGGATTCCCCACGTTTGCTGCCTGTTTATGTAGCCACAGCTCCCCATTTGGAGCCAGGTTTTTTGGCCTGGCCAGGAAGGAGAAGATTGTCCAAGGTTTTCCCCAAAGAATATGAATGTTTCTGCCTTCTGATTGTCCTTGCCCGTGATTGTGTGGTTTCAATGTCAAGCCATGTGGAAAAGGATTCCCAGTTACACTACAAGAATTTCTACCTTCTCTCTCAGCCCTGCAGCTGTGGGTTCTGCCCATGCAGAAAGCAGAGGATCAGGTTCAAGCTTCTGTTGTTTCCCTGTCAGTGGAGATGTGATATAATGCTCACATGGGAATGTCATTGTTCCTTGCTCTGAAACCTGTCCCTATGTAACTGACCCCTTCCAGACTCCCAGAGCACTGCTGTTGCAAGGCAGCTCACACCACTAGAATTTCTCACTGGGGTTATGTTAAATTTTAGAAACGTACTATTTCAAAGGTGGCAGCTTGGGCTTTGTAGAATAGAAATGTTGATTTTGTTTCTCCTGAGAAAAAAACTTCTAACAACAGTGAGGAATGAAGATGTGATCTATCCTAAAATTACTATATTGTTACATTGCTCTCTTTTTAGAAAATCTGTTAGATCCTCCTCCTCCCTCTGAACTGGAAGCTGAAAGGACATGTCCTGCACAGTTGGGGATATGTCCTGGCTGGGGCTCATTTCTCAACAGCTGTTGCTTGTGTACCTGCTCTGCTCTTGCAGCTTTTTTTGGTGAACAAATTAAAGCTCAAATTTAGAGGCTCATAAAAAGAAGTCTCAGCCTCAGTTGGGTTGCAGTGCAGCTCAGGAGGAGGCTGAGCAGCCGGGGAACCGGGGGATGGTTGTCTGCAGAACCAAAACACAGCTGCTGGGGCTAATTTTAGGGTTTCTAGTCTTGACGCCTGCCCTGTATCCCAGCAAGCTGTTTGTAAGCCATAAGCATTCCCAAGCATGTCCCTGAGTTAACGTGGGAATGTTAATGTGACCTTTCTCGAAAATTGTATTTATAGAGGCCTCTGAAATCATGCGAGACATCGGCACAGCCATCCAGTACCTGCACTCCATGAACATCGCCCACAGGGACGTCAAGGTGAGCCTGCAGGGCTCTGGGCAGGGGGAAGGAACCTGTGGCAGAGAAAGAAATGGGCAGCGGTGGTTTAAACAGAGCTGGGAGTGCAGTCAGGTGGCCAGAGTGTTCCTGTTCCTCTGCCAGTGTGAGAAGGGATTTGTTCACTAGTTTGCAAGTAGTCCAAGGTTGGAATATTCATGTGTGCTAATGCCTTGCAGTAGAATAGGGAATGCAGAAGAATCTCGTGATAGTCAGATGGTTAGTTAAAGAGGTACTACCCATTTGCAATCCAGTTAATTAGTAAGAAAATAACACTGCTTGAGGTAAACTTATACTACATCCCTCTGTGTACAGTCTTTGCCAGTTACTAGTCCTTTTCAGCATCATACTTGCCTAAGAAGAAAAAAACCAATAAACAAACCACAAGAAACTTCAAACCAAACAAACAAAAAAACCCCAACAATACCAAATACCAAAACCCCCCCTTCAGAGACAGGAGAAACTGCCTATATGGGAGGAATAATACAGATTGTGCATCTAACCCACTTTAATGATATATGTTAATATTTGGGAAAACAGAAAGATCTCAGTTGCTGCCACATGGGACACTTTAATTAGCTAAAGTTTGAACCCAGATCTTGTTGTAGAGATTTGGCAGCGTTTGTAGTACTGTACTTTATTTTCATTCTGTAAAGTGCACAGCATAAGCAAAGCCAAGCTTGCTGCACTCACTGGGATGGGATGGGATGGGATGGGGAGCAGGTCACATAGAGACTGAGGCATCAGATTGATTCCACAGTTCTGAGTCTGTGAGTTTGCTACAGATATTTCTGTGTGTTTGGCTGGAGGAAGAACTGCTGTTGCATGTGTCACCAAGGGGCAGGTTTGAGGGTTCTTCAGGTAGGAAGCAGAGAATGGCTTAACAGCTCAGAGACTAAAAATCTCTTTGCTTTTGCAGAGCCATGTGCCATTGTCTGTCAGCAGCACAGGAACTGAAGCACTTGGCCCCAAACACTCCATACACACACTCTGTGAACTAACATAGAAATGAGTCAAATAGATCCTAAAGCTTATTTTCTTTAAAGCCTTTCCTCCTTCTCTATGTCCCTAAACACTAGCATGAGCAAGGACATAGCTTCCTTATGACTGAGAAACTGGAAAACAAGTTCAAGTAATTGCAGATCATTTGGAGATGTCCTCTTGTCCCTGTTCTTGTGCACAAGAGTTTGTATTTCCCTCTGTGCCACTTCTGCCTGTATGGAATGTGAAGCAAGGGTGGAATTAACTCAGGTTTCAGGGGACAGAGGACGAGGGAGCAGAATGTGTGTGTATGAGTTAATTCTGAGGGAGTGGTGTCAGTGGCTCATGGAGAGTTTGTTCTCTTGTCCTCCACCTCAGCTAGGTGAGAGCACAGAGTGCTGGGGGATCAGCTGCTGTTGTCAGACAGATTGATCCCAGGAAACACAGGGAACTGGGAGAGGCTCAGGAAGCCAGATTTGATGCCCACTGGACAAGATGAGAGAGAGTTCTGTGGTTTGCCTGGAGGGAACTTTCCGTGGGCTTTGGAGGGGATGTGATGGAAGTAAAAAGACCCAAATGTTGATGGTCACCCAGGCAAGCAGGAATGGTTTGACCTGTCAGCTCCTTAGATTCATCTCTTCATTGTCTGGTTTATCCTTTCTCTCGGTGGCCTTTCAGCCTGAAAATTTGCTTTACACATCCAAGGACAAGGATCCTGTGCTCAAACTCACAGACTTCGGCTTTGCCAAAGAAACCTCTGTAGTGAATGCGCTGCAGACCCCCTGTTACACTCCTTACTATGTGGGTGAGTTCTCCAACATGCATTGCTTGTGTTTCAGTCTGTCACCCATCCCTGTGTAGTGGGTCTGGGCTGTAGGAATGGGTGGGAAATCTTCTGTTGTGGGTGTAACATAAAGTGCCAGCCTGCAGGGTTTAAACTGGGATCCACCCCAAAGCTAGTCTGGTTCCAGCACAGTTCAGTGCTCCTGCTTTCTTGCTTGGTTGTGGAGGAAGCAGCCTTCACAGGAGATGCAAATGAGGATCAAGGAGAGAGAAAATATTTCTTCTGATTGCACTTGAAGTAATCTTGATGTTGCCTCTGAAAGCCGTAATTTGAACAGAGCTTCTTGATTATTTGGGTGTTTCCTTGCAAAACTTCCCTTGGCTTAAGTAATGCAATAAAAGAGAACAGGGAGAGTATTGCCTGAGCTGTAGAACTTCTTTAGGCTGGAAAATGCAGTAATTAGTAATAAAACACCTACGTGACTTAATCACAGCTGAATTTTCCCTGCATTTTGTCCAAAGACAGAGCTCTGTGTAATGAATGCCACAGCAGACTGTCCTTTATGCACTGATTTTAGAGTCTTGAGTTAATAGTCATTCATCAAATGGTATGACTGAGACAGTCCATGCTTGGAATTTCTTTGGTGGAAAAAGGACTTAATTTTTTTTTGAAAAATTACTTCTCTGATGAAACTTCTTATGGCTTTTTTATTGAAAGATACTGTTATTCACTGTTACCAGATAATTACATTAGCAATATTCTTCTTCTCATGCCTTCTATATTTTTGTAAGCTGGGTTTAGTGATAAAATGTTAGGGAATTTACACATATATGATTTTGTGCCTTTACATTTGTATATAAACATGCTGACATTTCCCTTCTCAACACCTTTTTATAAACCAGCATGATTGCTCATCTGGTTAGTGAATAATTTTCCTTACAAAATCAAGCTCCCTGCCAGTTTACCTGCCTCAGGGGGGAAAAAAAATCCCCTCTAAATGTATCTCTCTCTAATTTTGTTACTTAGTGAGTTGCATTTTTTAATGCCTCCTATATTTGTTGCTGGAGTGTTCTGCTAGTTACAGGGTGATGGAGATGAAAGGAAATATCTGTACTCTGTTGATTTCTGGTTTGAATTTTCTCCAGCCCCAGAAGTCCTCGGTCCTGAGAAGTATGACAAGTCATGTGACATGTGGTCATTGGGTGTCATCACATATATTCTGTAAGTATTTGGGGAGAGTCTCAAGGAACAGAAAGAGGAAACATCTTAAATCTGCACTTACAAGTCACGAGGATCAGGCAGTGAGCTGGAATGGGACTTCTTCAGAGATGAAAGGACTTTCCTAGTTATAGAAATTCTCTTGTCCACTCTTACAGCCTGTGTGGGTTCCCTCCATTCTACTCAAACACTGGTCAAGCCATTTCTCCAGGGATGAAGAGGAGAATTCGGATGGGGCAATACGGGTTTCCCAATCCAGAGTGGGCTGAAGTATCAGAGGAAGGTAACAATACTCACTGTGCTGCTGGGTGGTGGAGTGCTTACAGAGAGTCTATTTCTGAAAACCTGTCTTAGCTTTTGTTTCCCTTTCTTTTGGAATTTAAATCAATTTTTTGTAAGGTGATACAGAGAACGACTGGGAACTCAGATACCAGCCAGCAACCTTGGTGCTGCAGAAAGTAAATGACTACTGAAAGCTTTCTTTCAAAGTCCAGCTCCTGCTAGTGAATGCTGAGACTAAACCCTCTGGAAACAGAAGCCCTTAATCCTGAGAAAGGAGACAGCCAGGACAGCTGGAATGCAAGCTGAGTTGGAAGAAAAGCAAACTGTCTTAAGAACTCTTTCAGTCTTTGCCCTCCTTGGTGATCCAGCCAGCAAGGATGGCAAGTTTTCATGGTAGCTTTTTGGGATGTGGGGATTTGCCAGCCACCACTTAAATCAAGGTCAACAATTTATTTTGTATAAGTCATTGATCAAAAGCTGCTGGGCTCAAACCAGTGTCCTGAAAGTGGATGTTTTTGATTGCCTCCTATCCTGACAGTCTCATAAGCTGGAAGTCTCACCTGCCCATCATATTAAAGAGAAAGGTCAGCAAGCTCTGGGCTCATCTGTTTTTCTTACAAGCCCTTTATATTGCTGTGATCCTGTTCTTGTCTGCTGTTTAGCAATAACAAATTATGGCTGGATAATACCGTGGTCTGTGGTATTTTCACCCCTCATTGGATCTCCTGGCTGCCTGTGCAGCTCAGCCTGCTGAACATTGTTAAGGGAAATGTTTTACTTAAGAGTTTCTGACTTAATATTTTCTCTGCTTTGGGTCTTGTTTATATTCCAGCAGTTATTTACATGCTAAAGGAGCTTGGTGAGAAAACATGCACTTGGAAAATGTGTAAGGTTTCTGTCTACTTGCCTGACTGAAGATAGGGGCCCTCTATCCTTGATCCTATTAAGAACATGTAGTTTGTTGTGTTCTTTTGGGCTGATGGGGCACCTTTAAGAGTCTGCTGCTTTCTTCCCTGCTTTGTGCTCTTCTTGTCCTTTGCAGCCTCTTGACAAACTAAACCTGTACCTCTGGCAGCTTCTTACAAGCATTTAGTCATCTTGCATTTGATGTTTCTAAAAGAGAACTCTTATTTAGAAGTTCTTCTAGGTTGCTTAGGGAATTTTTGTGTAAGTCCTTCTAAATAATGTCCTTTGGATGCAGTTTTTCTGGTCTGTCCACCCACATTAATGAAACTCTTGTCTAGACTCTCATCAGCTCATATCTCAGTTACTTAGATCTCCTGCTTTGGCAGATACCACATTCACAGAAAGCTGCTGCAAAGCCTGTTTGGGCAATCCCTTTCTTAGACTTTTTTGTCCTTTTAGTGGCCTCTCAGTTGTCAAAGTTTATTGTCCCTTTTTTTTCCACAGCCTGTGCTAGTTGTTGTCTTCTATCATTTCTCAAAACATCAGCTTGTGCATTCATTCAGCCCATAGTGCCAAGCTTGTTGCCATCTTTCAGATAAGCAGCTTTCTGTTCCTATGTTTCTCTTTTCCTCAAGTTCCTGCTCCCAAAGCAGCTGCTCTGGTGATGTAGAGGGTGAAGCTGGAATCCCCAGGCCTTTTCTTTCCTTCTTACCTCTTGTCTTGGGTGTTTCCCTGTTCTGCCTCTTTAAACGTAGTAACCTACCACTCTGTACATGGCTTCTTAACACAGTGACAGCAAGAGGTAGGTGTTTTGAGTTCTGCAGAGTCACGTCTCTTCATTCAGCAGGTCTTTGTGTTCTCAAGGGTATTTGGGAACAGTCACAGGCCTCAACAATCCATGTTGGTCCTGTTTTTCAGCCAAACAACTGATTCGCCATTTACTGAAGACTGACCCCACAGAGAGGATGACAGTGTCCCAGTTTATGAATCACCCTTGGATTAATGTGAGTTTCATTTCTCTTTTTACACCATGAATTAATTCTTACATGCAGAACTTATATGTAGCTCCACATAGCACAGCAAGACAAGGACTGTTATTACTGTTGATACTTAATTAACCTCCTGTGCCCTCCACAGAGGGTCATCTGCCTGTAAAACCACAATTCTTCTTGGTGTTCCCAGAGGACACACAAGGAGAGACACCCACAGCAGTGTCCTTGGAAGCAACAGCCCAATATGTCTCTCTATTCTGTGAGCAGGCAGTCACTGTTGACTCTGCAGCATATGCATGTGTTACTCCCTGTAAAAACATAAAAATAAACTGTATGTGCTTACTTCATCAGGGCAGGATTTAAACAGAGCTATTATTAGTGGCCTCAGGCACCATTGTGCATAGCTTTGTTAGTGTGAACACAGTGCTGTGCTTAGTGGGAATTCTCACCCTTGGCACAGCTTGGAAATGCCTGAGGGAGGAGTGAGGGTCTCAGGTTTTTGCCCCATGAGAGACTGCCAGGTAGGGTGGTGCACAGAGCTATTAATGGTCCCAGCTCAGATTTCATTCTATGACTTGGTTGAATTCACTTTTCCCTAGAAAACAGCTTTGGGGAAAAAGGAGAAATGTACTCTAATAATACAATATTGATTATTTCAAATAAGAGACAAGAATCCCAGGAGCTACGAGACTGAGTTTCATGATATCGTCTCTGCTCTGTAGATGTCCCTCAAAATAGTAGATTATACTTCTCACATTTGTGCCTAAAAAGACACCAGTCTTGTTCTTGCTGCCCAAAAAATTGTCAACCAGGAGCAGAACCACTTGTTCTGTATAATGCCCTTTTCTCTCTGACTATGCTGATCCTCAGAGGCCAGGGCAGAAGCAGAGCTGTGGCTAATAGTGCCCATTCCTGGAATGGCTGCTGCAAGATCTGGGAGCCCTTGGAATCACAAGAAAGGTACCTGTATGACATCCTGATGAAGGAGAGAGATGGCATCACTTAAGGGTTATAAAAGCGGAGAAATTTAGGTTGCAAAGACTCTGGAGAACTAGAACAGGTCCTAGACAATGTTTGTAAGTCTTTTTTAACCAAATAAAAATTGAATCATTGGTCAGAATACATACCTCCAGCTTTAAGGGTTTGAAGGCCCAATAAGGAGGTGTTTCAGAAGTCAGCAGGCCAGGAATTTCATGGAGTGAGTGCCTAATGGCTGAGGGAGCTGCCACCTACAGTGACACATGTTACTCTGAATATGCACAGAGCCAGTTAATCAGGGGGAGATTAGAGACAAGGTCTGGGGAGTGCTGCACCAGAGCCCTGCTCAAACACTGTCCTCTGAAAAATGCTGCAAGTTGGCTTTTTTTCTGCTGAACATCTTGTTCCCATGAGGCAGGGGGAGGGAAAGACCAATATAGTGAATGTCTCTGTTCTCCCTTTTCCTAAATCCCAAAGTGGGAACATGTATGGGGAAGTGCCTTGCACAAGCAGTAGAGGAGGATGCTTTGTGTCTTCTTTTTTCATTCCCCCTCTCTTTTTTTTTTTTTTACTGTCAGTTTAGGTGGAGCACAGAATCCTCCACTTACTTGTGGATAAGATTTTTTTAACAAGCAGCAGCTCACAGCAGATAAGAGAGCACCTTCAGCAGGGACAGGGACATCACTAAAGCCAGGCTGCTTGTTTTCCATTTCTCCTGTCCCAGGTGTACTTGATAAAACTATACCCTGGCCAGACACGGATGCAGGAGTCAGGATTTCTGCCTCCTTCTGGAACTGCAGCATTGCTTCCAATGTAAACCTTGTTTTACAGGGATCTCCTCTTCCTGACAATGCAGCTCTGTCTGGTGGAGTATGCCACAGCAGTAGACAGCAAGTTTGGCTAGAAAGCATAAAAAGAGAGAAGATCCAAATGAAATTATAGTTTGGGTTATGGACTGGCAAGAAATGCCACGATTCTTGCTGAGTTAGCTAAGGAACTGTGCTCTGTGCTTTAGAAATTGTGCCTCATTCTAATGTAAAGTACCTACTGATTTCGTGGCAGCTGAGCACTGATCCCAGTTTTCTGTGGAGCAGCACCTCAGGTGTCTGGTGAGCTGTGCCTTGCCCTGAGCAATGGTAGCATTTCCTCTTTGGGGCACACTTAATGACCTGATAAAGTGGTCATCTCACTTAATGTATGTGGACAAGGAAATGTCTTCTACAGCAAATCCTAGGAGATAAAAGGTCAAATTAACCTCTTTAAGACATTGACTAATGAATACTGAAATGACAGTTAAAATCTAAAATGTACATGGAAATTTATCCAATACCAGGTCATTGGTTGGACTGGAAGGGAGCAGAGGGAAAGAAATTCAGCACTAGTTTCTCTCTCCTTTTGTTCTTTAAAGATACTGTTTTATAAGGGCTATAGTCCTTTTCTACCACACACAGGAGTTCACTTGTGGAGTGATTGGAAGCAGGAATAACAAGGGCCATTGGAGGACATTAGATCAAGTTTTGTGCCCTTCATACACATAGAAGAGCAAGTAGTCACTTCCCAAATGTTACTTTTCAGAACTTCTCTTGGTATTTTTCCCTTTTCTCAGAGATCAATGTCAGTGCCACCAACTCCTCTTCATACTGCACGGGTCCTGCAAGAGGATAAAGACCACTGGGATGAAGTTAAAGTGAGTCAGTCCTAGTTCAGTTTTCTTTAAGTGAAGTCTGAGATTAGATGAGCTGCCTTTTCTGTATATGTGCATTTCTTTGGAGACTGAAACTATTTTGAATTCAATTATGTCAAACAAGGGAAGCATAAACATTCTTGTTTAGAACAGTAGTGTATATGATAACTGTTTAAAAAAAAAAGGATGCTATTTGAGCTTTATCTGGCAGCCTTACAGCTGCACCAAATATCAACAAAGGTGGTGTTTATGATCAAAGGCATTAATGATGCTGCCTGCTGAGCCACTGCATGGGACCACAGAGGAGAGGGACAGTGCTGAGGGGGTTTGAAGTTCATTACAGTGAAGTGAATAATATGATGAAAATATAGGGGGGCAGGATGGGAGGGCTGAGCTGCTTTTCTGCTCTGTTCCTGTATTGTAAAACAACATTAAATAACCTTAGCCTTGTCTTGTTATGACATCTGGGGGGTGGAGAAGAGGGAGTAAAAATATTGTCTGTCTTTTCCTTAATCTAACCAGGTGCCTCACCTACTATTTGTACTGATGACAATTGAATGCTTCCTGCAAACTGAAACTATAGTGCAGACTAAAAGTCTTAACTCTTTCCTGCTGGCCTTGATCAGGTTGGCATACTTTTACAATTCATTCTGAATTTTCTGCACTTACAATGCGTGGCATTTTGACAATTGCAACATTCTTGGAGTGTATTTTATTGATTACTGATTTTATTTAAATCACTGATGTGTAGTCTCAGCTGTTGAGCTGTGTAATGGCAAAATTTCTTAGGACCTAGACAACATTTGCCTCCTGAGTCAGAGATCAAGCAGATACTTTCACTGAGCCTTCTTCTCTTCCATGTTTCTGAGAACTTCTTGTGCTTGTGCATTGTACAGGTCTCAGAGATGCTCCCTTGAGCTCCTGACATTCCCATAATATTTGTTTTTCCTTTCCTGAACTAAATGCTTAGGCATTCATTTATTTAGGAGATTTTTCACAGAGTCACAGAATATGCTGAGTTGAAAGGGACCCATCAGGATCATTGAACCCAACCCTTAGCCCTGCACAGACACCCCAACAATCCCACCCTGTCCCTGAGAGCATTGTCCAAATGCTCCTTGAACTCAGACAGGTTTGGTGCTGTGACCACTGCCCTGGGGAGCCTGTTCCAGTGCCTGACCACCCTCTGGGTGAAAAAACCTTTTCCTGATATCCAACCTAACCCTCCCCTGACACAACTCCAGCCACTCCCATAGGTCCTGTCACTGGTTACAAGAGTGAAGAGATCAATACCTGTTTTTGTTCACAACCTTATCAAAAATTTAAAAATGTGCCTGCACTTAGGCATTAATTCAGACTAAGGAGGTGTGTGAATTTGAAGCACAGACTTTTAAACTAAACATCTTTGTGTGGGCTCGTTATTCCAGCCCTGCTGTCCTAGTTTGGTGGTGGAGCTGGAGAGCCGTGTCCTGAGTGTCGTATGAGAAGCTGGTGAAGGCCCAGAGCCAGCCAGTGAGGAATGCTGGGCATAAGGACATGGTGGAATTTAGGCCAGGGGAGTGTGGTCCTGCGTGCTCACATGTGACATGCTGTGTGAATTGCTCCTCCTGAAGGAGCCCAGGAGTAGAACAAAGCCTTTAGTCATCATCCAGTGCAGCAGAAAGGGCTCAGCTCTTTGTGGCTGTGGTGTGACGGAGGGTTCCTTCTCTACATTCATCTCCTGGCAGTAAGTGTGGGGTGGCTGTGCCCTCACTGCTTCAGGGGGTTCAATAAATTGTTTCCTTGGTTTCAGGAGGAGATGACCAGTGCTTTGGCTACCATGAGGGTGGACTATGATCAGGTGAAAATCAAAGACTTGAAAACCTCCAACAACCGCCTCCTGAACAAGCGCCGCAAGAAGCAGAAGCAGGCAGGCACTTCTTCCACAGCCCCAGGGTGCAATAACCAATGAGCACAGAAGCCAAGGACCTGTGGGTGGAGGGTAAAAGTTACACAGAGCAATTTAAAAACCTATGATCACCTCAGTCCATACCACAAAGGCAAGGAGATGGTGAAGAAGCCGTCCTGCAAAGAGGGAGCAGTGGGAAAGATTACTTTTTTATTACTTGAATCAGGGCTTTGCTTTTAAAGACTAATGTATATGACGTGATTCTGTTGCATATTGCTAGGGAAGGTTCAACAATGCCAGAAATGTTACAGGGTTTTGGTTTGGCTTTAACTCTGTGGGATGAGAGGAGGGAACAGGAGGCAGTCTCAGCATACTAATGCACTGAGGCTTTAACAGCCATTTACAAGAGTAACTTCTGCTGCTGTTTTAAACTTGGGACTAGAAGAATGCCAAGTGTTCTGCCAGAAGTGTTTTAGTAGTTTAGTAGAATTGGTAGTAGTCCATATTTCCAAACTTACCTCCTATAGTTACAGAATATCATCTGAACAGTAAACAGTTATTCTTGTTACAGGAAAAAGCATCCATGCATTTCCATTTTCATAAAGCCTTCATGTAGCCTCATGTGAAGACTTGAGTTTGTCATGGATTTGCGTTTGATGACATGTAAGTTTTCTGAATTGTAACCACTGTGTTGTGTCTTTGCCACTGTCAGACTCCTCTCTTGTAATGTTTTGAATTTAACTGGTACAATATGTGAAAAGTTGTAATAAGGATTTAAGTAGCTGAAGGTATCCTGCAGAGAGTATTGCTGTTCCTCTTGGATCCACAACCTCCAGGGCGTGCAGCTGGACATGCAATTGTGTACAAGAGACTGCTCTAGAGGAAAGACTCCTGAAATTCAGGAAGAAGTGCCAAATGCATGTTCTCTGAATGGACCCTGCCAGCATCCCTTCTGGTAATTATCTCCAGATCCCGTGCCTAAGATGTGCTGATCCCAGCAAGTTTTGGGGTGCTGGGGTTGGTTTGTTTCCTGGGGTCAGGAACTTTATTTGCTGTGTTTTGGTGGTGTTTCAGGATCCAAAGGTTTTCACCACTTAAGGGAGATTACCAATAAGTACATCTACCTGTTGGTTTTTTCCTATTCTAATTATTTTTTTTATGGGAACCTGGCCTTGGTTTGCTGGTATGTTTTATTTTGTGATCAAAATATTTCCTCTCGCTGTATTTTGGGTTTTGATTTTGTTTTTTTAGTTGAGGTGAGGCAAATATTTATGGAAGTATCATCGGAGTCTAGGATGTAAATGATGTGCTTCCAGTGATGCAGGCAAAAAGGACTTTGTGGTAGGCTCACAGAGTGCTGGTGTGTTAACAGGCTTGGAAGAATGTTAAAAGACAAAAAGGAAAACAAGGCTCCAGAGTGGATCTGAATTGTCCAATGTGAGTGACACAGCAAAGCTCGAGGCTTTGGACTTTGTCTGGGGAACCCAGTTCAGAGTGTTGGATGAGAGCTCCATTCTTCTTTGTGCACTGGTCCTAGGGTTTTGTAACGTGATTTATTAAAATGAGTTTCTAACATTCCTTCCTCCTGTCATCCCTGTTTCTGTTGAGGTGTGGCAGAGTTTGTATTGCTTTGTGAGGTACATCTGTGTTGGAGGTGATGGGAAAGGGGAGAAGGAAAGTGTTCTATGGTGTTCACATTCGAAGACTTTGAGCATTTTATAAGATTACAGGGGTTCGTCTCTATAAAGCCATATTTTAAAATTATTTCATGTTTATTTGGGCATATCTATGATTATAGCATGTCCTGTATGTGTTTTGCCATATGAAGTAAGGCATCATAATCATAACTCCTGTGAATTATGCAAATATTATTCACTACCTGCAAATGAATACAATGAATGAAGAGTTGTGATGTGTCAGGGTGCCACAGCTGGGATTAGAGCCAGGTCCAAGTTCCTCTCCCTTTATCCAAATGTTTTGAGGGAGCTATATATACATCGTTGCTGCCTTCCCATCTCTGTGCCCCATCTGGGTGAGGGATTCTCCCAGGGCAGCCAGTGTGTGGTGTGGTGATGCCCTGGCTGCCCTGGGGACAGTGCCATTAGAACTGTTGTAACTCACCTTTTTGCTCCTGCCTTGCCCAAGGGTTGAGCAGGAGCTCTCGGTTTCCAGCTGGTGCCTTTTGCTTGTCAGTTCAGTCTGGAGCTCATAGACATGTATCTGTTCCTGGGTAGTTTTCCACTGGGAACTGTAAAACACATCTGGGCCTGATTCCTTGCTGTGGGATTCCAGTCTTTACAGCAGGTCAGGAGCTGGAGTGATGAACTGAGGCACTTGGCACAGCACCTGCAGCTCTCTGTCCCTGTGTGGCAGGACATTCCAATCTCATTAAACCAGGAGTAACAGTTCTTGCCTCCTACCCTGCAGCCACAGCACCCAGGAACGCTGTAAAGCCTGGCAGGAACCAGAGGAGGGCCTCAAAATGGCAGACATGGAAGTGTGTGCCAGTATTGGACAGAAGGGTTTGAGCTCATGATTTATAGGGATGGAGGAGACTCCTTGGGAGCTGGGAAACAGCTGCCCTGAGATGTTCAGCCCCTCAGACTGCTGCCCTGAGATGTTCAGCCCCTCAGACTGCTGTCCTGAGATGTTCAGCCCCTCAGACTGCTGTCCTGCTCAGGGAAGGAGCACTGGTTGTGTTTTAACCAGCTCTGCGTCAGCTGGAGCTGCCAGGGGCTGGGTTTGGAGTGCAGGTGTTCCTGGCAGGGTCCGTGTACCTGTACAGGGATGTGCAGAGCACCTATGGACACGTGTGCCTGTATAGGGATGTAGGGATGTGCAGACTGCCTGTGGACACCAGTACCTGAGTAGGGATGTAGGGATGTCCGGACCGCCTATGGACACGTGTGCCTGGATGTCCGGACCGCCTATGGACACGGCTCCGCTCCACACCCCGGCCCCGCCGCGCCACCTGCCGCCCACGGCTTCCCCAGAGCTCCCGGCTCCCGCCCCTGCCATCAGTTAACCCAAAGCCTCCTCCGGGAGCCCGCGCTGGGATCCGCGGGTGGCTCTGCCGAAGGTGTTCCCTCCCCGGCTGCCAGCTCGGCTCCGGGAAGGACCCGCCTTCTGGCTGCTTTCACACGCCTGAGAAAGAACGAGCGGTGGTATTTGGGTCTTGCCTCTTCCCCCAGCCATATCGTATAATAGGCTTTTTAGAACCTGCTGCTTAGGATCCAAATTTATGGCCTGTTTTTAGAAAGGATGGGCTATTATAGAACTGATTATGCATTTGCATATTCATCAGCCATATAGAGGAGGTAAAGAGCTGGGAAGGGAAAGAAGAAATGAATGGTCAATAGAGAAGGCTTCGAGGAGAACACAGATTAAAAGGTCTATTTATTTTTTACAGCAGAAGCTAAAAAAAGGACTGTGCACAAATCCCCACCCCCCCCATCCCTTTTCACAGCGATTGCTCATGGGCCACTGCCTCCCCTTGTGTTCCTCTGCACTGTGCTCCTCACACATGGTTCTTGCACATTCACTCACCAGTGCTCTTGCTCTGATCCACACACACGTGTGTGCACGAGCCCAGAGAAAACCCCCTCCCTCACTTCCCCAGTTTTTTGTACTCCGTGCTTTCCTTCCTCTTTGACCACACGTGCCACATGATGAACCTGTTTTTGACATGGTGCAATTAAAAACTCACATTAATGATAAGCTCTTGGCCTAATTCTGTGGTTTTCTATTTGTCAAAACCCAGCATGCAGTCCTGGGATTGCTCTTCTGTCTTAACACTTCACTGCCTAGAGTCTGGAGGCCCAATTACGTAAGTGCTTCTGACTTGTCTGACATGAGGGATAATGGGAATGCTACACACTCAGTTTGATCTAATTTCCCTGCCCTCTTTTCAATTCACACTTTATTTGGCCCATGTTTAGACAAAGGTGCTTTTGAGAAAAGGAAGGTTTAGTGAGGAGGAGAGAACCAGAGGTTTTAGTTACTGGCACGGAATCACGAGCACATGCACTGTTTTCAACCTGTGGCAGAGGTGGGGAAGGGATGTTCTTGTGTGCCCAGCTGCTCTGGTGTGTTCTCATGCTCAGCCTAAGGATGGAGCTGAGCTTAACAGCAGGAAAGCTTGTCCTTCAGGATGCTCCCCAGCTCGTTCACCAATGCCCTTTCACTGACAAACCACAGGGACAAAGGCAGGGAATGCATTTACATGCAGAACCCCTTTCTTCCAGAAGTACATATTTTGGGGATTTTTTCGTGGAAATATCAGAATTCTCTTTTTTCTAGGTTCCAGTATTTCCCCTCTTCACCCAACTGTTCTAATAGTGGAGCTGGCATAGCTGGGAATTAACATAATTAATTCTCTTTTAGAAATCCTAAAAGGGATGAAGACAAGGAAGCAAACTTGGGAGACAGAGAACACATAGTCAAAGCCTCAGAGAAAAAAAAATACTGGTAAAAATTTCTGCAAGCCAACAGGCAAGTTTGCTTCAGGTATATAGTTAAATGTATCTCACATGTGGAAAATTGAGGTTAGAGCAATCCTAGGTAATAACATTTGCTGAAGAAATGTTTCCCTGAAATCTTTGCACCAGGTAAGAAAATTCTTTTTGGGTATTAAGTCTAGCTTTAAAATAGGATTATTTTTTTCAGTCTGTGTGGTTAGAAGAATTTATTGGAGCAAAGGGAGCACAAATGGGGGATGGTATGTCATGTAATATGTCAAGAATAAGATATGTCTGCTGATGTATTCTACTCCAACTTATGTTTTTACTGCAAGTATTAGCTCTGTACAGACAAAGCAGGATAGGTTCAATTCTTTATTAGTCTCTTCTACCACTGGAGAGGGAGGATGTTCTTGCACTCTGGGGAAATGTGGAAGATAACTCTGTGACTGTAGATGAGCATCTATTCTGGTAAATCTGTAAATGATGCCTAGCATTACATTTATTTCAGAATTTCCTGCCTCATGAATCTGCCAGATGCCAGGGTCTCCCAGGTCTGCTCTAACTGTGTGAAGGCACAGAGGCCTCACTGTCACTGTGCTTCCTTCTGCTATTTGGGACCACAAAAAGAAGCATTTCTGAAATGTACTGCAGTGGTTTTAGTTTCCAGGAGCCAAAAGAGGAAAAAATGCATCTTTCAAATAGCTGGAGGTGACAGAAAGGGCCAGGCTGGCTTTTATCTGAGGAGGTACCTGAAGGTAGTATCGAGGTATCTTGACCTTTCTTTAGTTCAGCTCCCAGACCTGACAATAACCATGTTTTAGCTGTGTGAGGCTGCAGGTCCAGCTTACTGGAGATGTCTCTGCTGCTTTTACACCATGCTGGGGCCTTTCCCACTTTTTAGTATTCTGGGTCCTGGGACCACAGTGAAGCTGAATAATTCAAAAAAGGAGGAGTTGCCTTGTTTTCTTCCATGTTAGCCTTCTAAATTTGTCTGTGGAGTTTTCCTGCGTTGGTTACATCACGGTATCACTGGTGTAACAAATGTTTCTTCATTTGTTAACAGTGAGCATAAATGCTTCTTTTGGGGAGTGTATTTCTTTGTCTTAATTTCAAAAATGGAATAAAACCCTTTAAAGGCATGGTTATTTTGCTTAATGCTGTTCTCCCCAAACTTCCAGGCTAATCCATTTGGGAAACGTGGAAGATGTTCTCAGGAGACTTCTTATTGCTTAGCTACTGAAACACCTGCTAAAACCGAGCTCTTTTAAAAGCTGAAAATTATTTAAATGTGAAAAAGAGTGGGTTGATCTGGAAAAGAAACTTCTCAAAAGACTAAAATTAGAATGGAATGTGTTAGAAGAGAAATACTGGAGGGGGGGCGAGGACTGTGGTTTTTAAAATAAAAATGCTGTTGCTTGAGTAATGATCAAGGAAATTCTGGTTATGATATTAGCTGCTGCTCCAACCCAGAGCAGCCTCTGAATTCAGAAATAATTATGTTTCCCTAAAGATAGATATACAATACAGACTCCAGGTTTTTTTCTGAGGTAGTCTAAAGCAAGGCTCAGCTTGATGTTTATAGATGAAACTTCTGAGTATCTGCTGTTAGTAAACCAAACAAATAGCTCTTGGGTTTTTTTTAGAACAACTAATAACTGAGCAAATACACTTTGCAGATTAAGTTCTGCTCTCCTTAAGTTGCCTGGCTGAGCTCTTTCTGCTTGCAGAAACCTTGTCAAGGTGAGGTTACCTTTCATTTTTGCTTTCAGATGTTTTGCATTTCTGTCTTGCACTTCATCACCCTATAATTGACTTTTGTCTTGAGTAAAAAGCTAATTAGTTGTCTCGAGGCTAACATGCCATGATGCAATGTTTTTTAATTTTTTTGACTCAATTACAGTTGTACCACCTCTTCTTTTATTTCTGAACTGCCTGTGGTGTAAAGTATTGGAAGATTTTCAAGGAATCCAACTACCTGGCAGGAAACAAGAAACTACATTGTCTGTAAAATGGTAAGGAGGAAAGTTCCTTGATGAAAGTAATCAAGGATGGCTAATAGTAGGAAAAATATCCCTCTGAGGATGGGAGAAGGTCTCTACAAAGAAATAAAACCCACTA